ATTTTTAAAGGACTGCATTTCCATAGCTTGTGAAATTATATAATTGTAGAAAAGCTGAGCAAAGCAATGGATACAGTTGAAACTGCTCACCATATTAGTCAAATTCATTTGCACAAAATTATTTTAGAAAGCTGTCTATATGTTATATGAAATCTCATGAATTATTTTCCATCAGTCTGGTTTAGAGTTAACTGCATAATAAAGTGGTACTGCTGTATTAGGAGGAGAAACCCTTATGAATTTCCTCAAATCTGGCAATCTTGCTATAAAACCTGGGACCAAAATTAAAACAACTTTTACTGTAATACAGCATATAGCAGAGCCCTTGTGATTCTAATATATTAAGTATCAAGCTAATTAGCTGTCTCGTCTTTGGATTTTCCTCCAAACACCACACATCAGCTCTCAATTACGAGATAAAATATTAACGCATTCCAGGAATTTGTGTGAAGAGATTTAAACAGGCTGCAGGAGGCATATCGCACTCTAACCCTGAATTACACCTGAATGTGCGCGCTACAAATGAGCTGCTGTAGCGTTTCCAGTGCAGCCATTCACTGGAGAAACCCAGCCCAGTTTGGTAGCCAGGGAAGCTGACAGCAGCGCAAGTGACATTCCTATGAACTACGCCTAATGGGCTCCCTCCACGCCAACCAGCGCGTGTGGACAAGTGCCTAGGCCACAAATGACACCCCTGGCACTGCCCCCGGCCTGCCCAGGCACGGGGAGGGGAACGACCCGCCCTCTAGCTCCAAGCTTGCGCAGCAAGGGCCGAGCGACCCCCTCCCCCCCAAGTCAAGGGGGCTGCCCCAGCTGCGAAGTGAGCGGACACCTGGGCCCAGCAGAAGGAGAGAAGAGGGGGGGGTAATGGCGCCTGGGGACTAGCAGCGGCCAGGGCGAACCAGGCCGCTGTGGGCGCCGAGAAAGACACAGCCCCAGCGCCGGGCCCGGGACTCCCGCCCCGCAGCCCCTTACAAGAAGCTGGCCCTCAGCCAGGGCAGCGCCTCCCCGTCCCGCCCCCGGCGGCGCCGCTCACACACACACCCCGCGCCCATACACACGCACACCCGGGCCGGGCGCGTCCCGGCGCCAGCCGTCGTGCGCGGGAGAAGCTTGTACTAGCCCAGAGGCAAGCCCAGGGGAGGACAAAGCACCCTGGCCTGGGCGCAAGCCAGCGCAGGACCCTACGCCACATATTAACCTATCCCTGAACCGCACCGAAGCCGCGCCGCTCACACACACACCCCGCGCCCATACACACGCACACCCGGGCCGGGCGCGTCCCGGCGCCAGCCGTCGTGCGCGGGAGAAGCTTGTACTAGCCCAGAGGCAAGCCCAGGGGAGGACAAAGCACCCTGGCCTGGGCGCAAGCCAGCGCAGGACCCTACGCCACATATTAACCTATCCCTGAACCGCACCGAAGCCCTGGGCCTTTTTAAATTTCCAGAACCTGGGACAATTGCTCTCTTTGCACCCCAGGCCTGTATCTGGGGTCCGCTCTTCAGGTTAGGGCTTTTGTCTTTGTATATATTTATACAGGGTTTAGCACAGTTCTCACTGGAGCCTTTAAGTACCAGTGTATCTGAAATATTATTGCATAATGATAACAATAAGCACAAAGTGGGGTTTTTTGTAGGGGGTTACTCTAGGAATGTAAGTGACTATCAGATAAGCTTATGGAATAGTTGACTCCACTAGTCGCTTCCCTGGCCCTTGCTGCCTCTCAGAGAAGCAGCAAGAGAGGGAGCTGGTGCTGGGGGAACAGACCCCAGCACTGTCTCCAAGGGGAAGGGTATGGGGGTAGCAGGGAACTGGTGGTGCTTCACCTTTGAAATGTAGCAAAAGCCCTGGGGGGGAGGGGCTTTTGTACATTTCAAAAGCAGGGCACGTGGGGCCAGTGGGGCACTGCTTGAGTCCCCCGCTGACCCTGTGCACCCAGGGTGCTTCTGACTTTGAAATGTAGCAAGTGCTAACAGGGTTCTTGCTACATTTCAAAGGCGGAGGTGCCCTTATCGACTAATTGAATAGTCGATGCAAATTGCATTGACTATTAAAGTAGTTGATTAATCTAAATTGAACATCCGACTCTCCCACTGAGTCTAGCTGTTGCTTCATCTCCTCTGACTCTCTCCATTAAGCTCTTTGAAATCAGTCCTATTTCTGTAGTGCTTTGTTCATATATGGTCTTATCATTACCTGTAAACTGAAGACAATAAATGACCCAGTCAGAATGCTATATTTCATATGTATATGCATTTCATATCACAACTACTCTCTCATATTATTTTAAAGGTCTGGATGCTATCAGCTTGGAATTTTACACTGTTTGGGTTGTTCTACTAACAGTATTTCAAAAGAGGAATTATAGAAATATGTTATTCCTACCCATATGTTAAAACTAAAAATCACAGAAAACTGCAACCAATTTTGGGATTTTTATTCCTTACCTCTAAAAGACAAATTTGCAAATGATTGCTGAAAAGAATGCCATATGGAAAGGCTAGCAGAAGGCCAACTAGTGAACCAGTTATATGTGCCAGTTTCAATTTGTCACACTTCTTATTTCTGGGAAATGTTTTATCCTTGTTTTGAACAAGAAAACTCTCGTTAGGAACAAGTTAAGAATACATTCTTCAAAATACATCTTTTGTGAATGGAAAAGAAGCATTATGCCTCTATTTGCATAACTCAATATAGGAAGGGGAAAAGACAAACACTCATAACATTATATTAAATTATTTTAAAGAATTAGTAATTTTAGCAATAATCTAACACTAAAATTCTCCAATAACAACATCATGGGTTACAAAAATCATATTGAAATATCTTGCAGCTACAGGTGCATCAAAATAATCTTTTTCTTAACATGAGTAATTATAAAAAATGTTGGTTATATAAGTCCCAGTCCTGCAAAGATTCTCCCACACACAAGTTTACACACCAGTTCTCCCATGCATAAAGTTAAGTATATGCATAAGGACTTCCCATTGAAGAATTTGGACCTCAGCTATAAAACATTGGTTTAAAACAGCCATTGTTCGGACTGCTACTCTCTTCCCTTTCCCCAAATGGTAGTCTTATCTTTAAAGTGAATCCCTTGTATACAATTCAGATAAAAAACAAACTTAAAATATTATTATTAGAGTATAACAAGCAGTAGACACATAAATGATGTTATTTCTACCTGAGGAACGTACAGTCAAATTAATGGACAGAGATGTCAGGCATAAATAGTACATTATGAACCGTGAAACACCAGAAGCTAGATTCTGCCTTCAGTTACACCAAGGAAATCCCACTGCCATATGTAGTTGTAAATTTTCAGGGAAAGCTTTTCTGAGGGCTGGGTTTGCTGCTTTTGCACAAAATCTTGCCAGTCTAGATGCAGCCTAAGTGCTTTGTTCTCACCATAAAAGCAAAACGATACTCTGGTTTTAAAAAAGCTGGCAGATTTCACTCTGGTTTTAAGAAGGCTAACTAGCAGGCTATAAAAATAGCAGAGTGGACATAGCAGGGTCGTGGCTTGGGTTAGTCACCCATCCCCTAGCCTTCCCAACCCCAGGTCTGAGCACAGATGACTAGAATGAGCCTATGTTGCAATGTTCACAATACTATATTAAGCAGGCTAGCTCAAGCTGAACCAGTATGTGTCTGTCTACCTGACTTGGGAGGCACTCTCCCAGTTTCAGTGTAAACATATCCAAAATTGCTTTGGCTGTATGCTCAAGAACCTAGCCCCAATCTTGCAATCAGATTTGTACAGAATAGTGACTTACATTTGAGCTGTCTTAAATAAGTGGTTTTAGTCGTTTGGGGGAGGGGAGTGGTATACATTTTCCTTGTGAAAACTGATACACTTCTGAAATAGTGTAAAAGCACCTAGATAACATAGTAATGAGAGCTTTGAAAATACTTTTGCTATTATATTATTTTGTTATATAGAGGTATAAGGCTTATAAGTTAAGTGGAAGGCTGGCATTTTTGTGTGGTCATTTAAGGTTGAAATTTGACCCCGTGAGGATCACACACAAATTGAATTTGAGCAGCCGCCTCCTCCCCCAAAGATAAAAAATAAAGCAGATTTTTAAAACGTGACAGTTTAAAGCCAATTTCATGAATTGTGGGGGGTCTGACTCATGGCTTTTGAACCTCTGAAGACCCATTGAGCCAATGTAGAGTTCACTGTAGAATAGAGGTCTGTTTCTTGACTCCTAGTCCATACTGTGGGGCTACGTCTATATTGGCAAGATTTTGCGCAAATACTCTTTAACGCAAGAGTTTTTGCGTTAGAGTATTTGAGTAAGAGAGCGTCTACACTGGCATGTGCCTTTGCGCAAGAGATGTGCATTTGCGCAAAAGCATCTGTGCCAGTGTAGAAGCTATCTTGCGCAAGAAAGCTCTGATGGCCATTTTAGCCATCAGGCTTTCTTGCGCAAGAAATTAACATTGCCTGTCTACACTGGCCTCTTGTGCAAGAAGGCTTATCCCTGAGCAGGAGCATCAGAGTATTTGCACAAGAAGCACTGATTTTATACATTAGAATGTCAGTGTTCTTGCACAAGTACTCCCGGCCAGTGTAGACAGGTGGCAAGATTTTGCTAGAAGGGAGCTGTGCCCATAATGATTCCGGTGGAATCACCAGCCTGTGCCTCTGTGGAAGTCCCAAGCTTAGAGTGATCTTTTTTCCCTGGACTAGCCAAAGGGTAACACGAAAACATGCACTTGTCAGCTTGAGTCTCCCGAATTCCACATCATGTTTCAAATGTTGGGACTTCATCAAGAGGGTTTTTTTCTAAGTAGAAAAATCAAATACTTTTGTGGGCATTAGCTTACTTGTCTATTTCGTGGGAAGCTCCGGCTACCAGCCCTCACCTTCCAGGCTCCATCACTCCGCCTCGCGGCTGGACTGGGGCGCAGCCCAGGTGTCACGCGCGCAAGCACTTTAAAGAGCGTGGCTCAGAGAAACAGGTCAAGAGCCCCGCCTAGAGGGCGGCCTGGCGGCGAAACAGAGACGTAGGCAGATGCCGCTAGGGGCGGTGCTCGGTGGAAGCGCAATGGCCGTGTGGGGTTCCCGGGGGCTGAGCTGCCCCGCCCGGCTTCTACTCGGTGTCCCGCGGGCGGCCGCGGGCTGGAGCAGCGGCCTCCGTCCGCGGCAGTCTGGTGAGTAGTCTCCGTGCCACCGGTGAGGCTGTCCCGCTGGGAAGAGAGCCGAGTGAGTTTCCGAGCCGGTTTTAGCAAAACGCCCAGGCTCATGCGACCCGAGGCCGTTGGATCACATCTGCTGATTCTGCCCTTGCTTGGCATTACAAGCCCATGGATTGTTATCCGTGTAGCTGTAGGTCCCAGGTTATTAGAGAGCCAGGGGGGATAAGGTGATAGGGTAGCACAAGTGCTGGAACTAGGGGTATAGGAAGTGCTGCAGCACCAATTGACTTGAAGTGTTTCCCATCATATGCCGAGATTGCAGTTTGGTTCAGTGGTTCTCAAAGCCCCACACTACAAATTGTCCTCAGTAGGGTAGAGCTTCAAGATTTAAGAACACCAGCCTTGTGAACTGACTGGTGAACCACAGACTTACTCTGGAACCGGAAGTATGTGACGAAGCAGCAAGAGAGACACCCTCTAGTAAATACAGTACTTTTTGTTAAATGTAAACTATTTTTCAAAGACTAGGCACTAAAAGGAAATTATTTCTGTGCTTATTTCATTTAAATTAAGATGATTAAAAGCACTGTTTTCCTTCAAGTGAAGTTCCAAAGCCTATTAAGTTAATATTTAGTTGTAAATGTCTGAATCACCATCCTGTTTGCTGAGTTAGGAACATTCCCTTCTCCTGAGAATAGGACCACACAAGGTCTAAGCAATGAAGACTGACAGAGATAGTCCATATTTGGCTTCCAGTCTGCCTAATAGTTATCAGATGGTTTTGAGTAAATTTCAAATATTTTAATGTGCTTTTATTTATTTTTATTTTCTCTGGAGTCTGGACTTTGACTATACCGGGACCAAGAAATTTGGACCTTAACTAAAAATAGACTACATTGATTCTAGGATGAGTGTAAAAACAGACAAGTGATATCTGGAAAGTTCAAAGAATTTTTCTTTAGAAATGAAAGTGACTTTTAATTACTGTTAAATTTTATGTGACTACTTCTCTAATTTAAAATGACTGTGGCACAGATTTTTAAAGCTATTTAGGTGTGCTAAATTGACTGTTAATGGATTGTTTGGGTCCTAAATGATTAAAATGCTTTTGAAATTACATAGCATTCCAATGTCTACCTGATGTAGGAGTCTGAGTTCAGCAATGCCAAAATACCTTAATTTAAGTATCTAAACTCATTATATAAAATGTTAATTTCAGAAAACTAGTCCCATAGTTTATTAGCACTCCCAGGAGATATGCTGTCACACCTTCAAAATGTACTCCAGCAAAACACACACAGACAAGATGTAAAAGAGTAGTCAAGTCGACTACAGGCAGTCCCCGGGTTACGTGGATCCAACTTTTATGTCGGATCCCTACTTACGAACGGGGTGAGGGAACCCTGAACTAGCTGCGCCCCCCTCCCCCACCAGCAGACTGCTGAGATGCGCCGCGGCGGTCCCGCTGCCCGTGCCCTCCGCGGCGAGAAGAGCCGCTACGCGTCTCCCTGGCAGCAGACCAGGGAGACGCGGAGCAAAGCCGCGGAGGACGCGGGCGGCGGGACCGCGGCGTGTCTGGGCGGTCCCGCTGCCCACATCCTCCGCGGGGAGAAAAGCCGCTCTGCGTTTCCCTGGTCTGCTGGGGCGGGGGGGCGCAGCTAGTGCGTGCCCCCGCCCAGCAGACCAGGCTTTTCTCGCTGACGCCTGGGGTAGAGCAGCTGGGGGGCTGCCGGGTTGGTCCCATAGCGCCAAGGTGCGGCGCTACTGGACCACCCCAGCATCACCCTAGCTGCTCTGCCCCAGGTGTTCCCAAGTCAGCCGCTGCTGAAACTGACCAGCGGCTGACTACAGGAAGCCAGAGGCAGAGCTGCTGTGCCCCGGGCTTCCTGGAATCAGCCGCTGATCAGTTTCAACAGCGGCTGACTTGGGGATGCCTGGTGCAGAGCAGCTGGGGTGCTGCTGGGTTGGTCCCGCAGCGCTGCTCCTCGGTGCTACTGGACCAACCCGGCAGCACCCCAGCTGCTCTGCCCCAGGCGTGTCCGATTCAGCTGCTGCTGGTCAGTTTCAACAGCGACTGAATCTGGATGCCAGTTCCAACTTACATACAAATTCAACTTAAGAACAAACCTACAGTCCCTATCTTGTACATAACCCGGGGACTGCCTGTACTCATGTCCCCTCACTCTGCTGACTCTCTAGCAGAAGCAGTAAGGGGAGGGGACGCAGGAGCCAGATTAAAAGCTGGTTACCTCCAGCACCATCTCCATGGTGCCTCTTGCCCCTTGCCCTGCTGCTTCTATCAAAGGCAGCAGCGCAGGGGAGGCTGCTTCAGCAGCAGCCCCTGTCTGCAGGATGGGAGGTGCTCCAGCGGGGAGCTAGGAGCCCCCCTAAACCATGGACAGGAGTTGCTGAGGCAAAGCAGCCCATCTTTGGTCCACCACACCACTGGGACCCCCGTGGGCAGGGGTGCTGAACTTGGTGCAAGCACGGCTCAATCCTGGTTCACGCCAGGTCCAGGAGCTATGTCCTCGCAGCCCTGCAGTTTATATGTAGAAGAAGTCAGGCTGCCTGCATGCCTGGCGCTTACAACATTTAAATTGCAGTAGTGGTAGCTCCTTTTTAGTATCTTCCCTTATCAACTACACGATTACTCAAATACCTGCCTCTTAACATACACACACATGCACAAAATAAATATCTTTTTAGGCCTTTTTCTTGTACATCAAATGTCTCTTACTTTATTACCATCCTCATGTTCGTAAAACAATTAAGTGGAATGGGTCTATGACCAGCTAGTGGGAAACCAAGAATATAAAAAAAATTATAAATCAACATTCATTTTGAAGTGCCAAAGAGTGTATTTAACCCTTTCCTCCTAAGAGTTTTATTACAACTCAAATGAACCTGAGAGACAACACAATCATTAACATATTAGCAGAAAACACAGCCTGCATTTTTGTGGTTTAAGACTATACCTGTGTTGACAGTAGGTTTTCCTCATTTTCAAGCTGCAAAAATAAACCATTTGGTTGTAAGTATTAATCAGATATGTAGTAAAACCCAGTTATTTGAGCCATCTCACAATATCTTTTAAAATCCACTTAAGGAAGAAATATAAACATACATGTAGGCTTAATTTCTAATCGGGGGAAGCACTGACTAGGATAACCATAATGACAGTGGAATAACTCAGGCTCACTTAAATATCTGTAAACTTGCCAATTATTGATTTACCATGCTAAATTCCTCCAAACTGGAGCATCTTGCATTTTTTTAGCATGATTAATAGTTTTCCCAAGATTTCTGGAAACTACATGATTTTTCTTGCTTCTTGTGGGATAAGTCTTTTTTTCTTTTCCTAGGTCTGAGAACTGTAAATGTGATCTCACGTAATATTGGCACTGCTGCTGATTACAGTGTTTCCTATAAAGAACTCAGAGGCTTGCTAAAATCACAAACCACTCATATTGATGTTCGAGAGAAGTGGGAAATTGAACAGGTGGGAAAAATTCCTGGATCCATCAACATACCATGTAAGTTATATGTATCACTGCATAGCAACAAGATCAGAAGTCCTAAGCCTAAACTTGCAAACAAACCTTGGTGACTAACAAAAACAAGTTGTGATACTTACGGAAAAGTCTTCTGGAAAACTAGTGTAAATCTTCACAAATAAAACTCCTTTATGAATTACACATCCAGTTTTTGCATCTATTTTTGCAGTGGGTGAGGTTGTGGAAGCTCTACAGATGAACTCAAAAGACTTTAAAAGACGGTATAATCAAGATATGCCTACTAAATCTGACCATCTAGTCTTTTCCTGCATGGCAGGTGTGCGAAGCAAGAAGGCATTGGATATTGCTATGTCTTTGGGCTTCAGCAGGTAAGCAGTTGAAGTACTGTCTGGGTAAGTTCCTGCATGGACAACAGGATTAATGGGAAAATACACTTTCTGCAAATTGGGGCCCTTCCCTGGTGGTCTTAGGGTACATTAAAGAGGCTGAAAAGACATGAAATCTCCCATTCTGTACTGCTATTTCTATCTTCATATTAGCTGCGTACATATTCCCTCAGGAAGGGATGCTCAGATAAAATTTCTGGATGCCATAAATCACTGCCGCTGGGAGCAGCTTGTCATGGATCCCACAAGGGAAGAGGCAGTCTTTATTTAAGTGGTGTGCGGAGGAAAATAGAGCTGAACTGCTTGGTAATAATGAGCATTATGTAATTAAACTTAACGTCATTGTATGGGGGGAAATGCCATAGAAACCCATCACAGTAGCACTTAACTTCAAAAGGGGGAACTACACAAAAATGAGGATGCTAAACAGAAATTAGAGGAAACAGTTACACTGATGAAATGCCTGAAAACTGCGTGCAAGGTAATTAAACACCATAATGTACACAAACTAAATAAACAGTAAGAGAACAAACACATTCTGAACAGCAGAGTAAGAGGCAATTACAGGTAAAAAGTCATCTAAAAATTGGAAGTAAGATCCTAGTGAGGAAAATAAGAGCATAAACTCTAGCAAATCAAGTGTAAAAGTATAACTAGATAGGCCAAGAAAAAAACTGGAAGATCAAGTACATCACAGGCAAAGGAGCACTTTAGAAAGACAAAGCTGTTGCAGACAAATTAAATGAATTATTTTCATCGCTAGCTATGGATTGGGGTAGGGTGGAGACAGAGGTATTTGTGGTTTGCATAGTTTTTGTTTTGAGAAATCTGAGGAACTGCCGCAGATTGAGGCTTCAGAGGAGGTTTTGGAACAAACTGATAAACATTAAGGGTGTGTCTACACTGCACCGTTATTTCTGCAGTGATAACTAGCGTTATTTTTAAATGAGTGTTTACACAGCCATTCTGAAATAACTTTGAAATAATGGATGGCTTATTCCAAAATCTGTAAATCTCATTCTACAAGGAATAACGCCTAATCTGAAATAGCTATTTCAAAATAAGGTGTGTGTAGACACTGCACTACTCCTATTTCGAAATAGAATTGCCTTGGTGAGGGGCTAAGTTATTCCTCCTCAGTGCCACCTGTGGCTCTAAATCAAGATAGCACATCTACATTAAGGAACCCTACCCAGGCTAATTTTGAGGCTTCCCTGCAGTGTAGACTTACTATTTTGGAGTAAGTATTCCAGAATAGTTTATTTTGAAATAAGCGTGCAGTGTAGACACGTGCCCATAGTCACCAGGATCAGATGGTATTTAAGACTTCTGAAAGAACTCAAATATGAAATTGCAGACTACAAACCATTGTTAATAGTTATATCACTTAAATAAGCCTCTGGCCTAGACAATTGAAGGCTGGCTAATAAAACAAGTTTTTTAAAAAAGTTCTAGAATGATCCTACCAATTATAGGCCAGTAAACCTGCCTTCAGTACCAGGCAAACTGGTTGAAACTAGTCAACAGAAGAATCAGCCATAAACACAATTTGTTGGGGAAGAGTCAACATGACTTTTGTAAAAGATAATCATGCATCATCGGGAGGTGCAAACAAATATGATGCTGTCAGCATAGTGTACTCTGACTTTCAGAAAGCCTTTGACATGGCTTCTCACAAAAGACTTAAGCAGTCATGAGGTAAGAAGGAAGGTCCTCTCATAGGGTACTTCTAGACTACATGCCTCTGTCGTCAGAGGCATGTAGATTAGGCTATCAGGCATAGGAAAATGAAGCGGCGATTTAAATAATCGCCGCTTCATTTAAATGTACATGGCTGCCACGCTGAGCCGATCAGCTGTTTGTCAGCTCAGCGCAGTAGTCTGGACGCGCGGGTGTCTACATCAAAGGCATTTGTCGACCATCCAGGTATGCCTCCTGGGATGAGGTTTACCTGGGTGGTCGTCAAATGCCTTTGATGTCAACACCCGCACGTCCAGACTACCGCGCTGAGCCGACAAACAGCTGATCGGCTCAGCGCAGCAGCCATGTACATTTAAATGAAGCGGTGATTATTTAATCACCGCTTCATTTTCCTATGCCGGGTAGTCTAATCTACATGCTTCTGTCGTCAGAGGCATGTAGTCTAGACGTACCCGTGGTTACTTAGCTCTGTTACTTTGTCTCACTCACACCTATTTCCAATTTGGGGATGACTTCTATCTTCAAGTCAGCAGCATAGCCTTGGGCCTCTAATTGGTTAAAAGATAGGAAACAAAAGGTAGGAATAAACAGGCAGCTTTTACAATGGAAAAAGATAAATAGCTCCATCTGTCCCATTTTCCATACTTACAAAAATCTTGAATAGCAGAGGTCTCTGTTGATTTTGGGGGGGGGGGAGGGAAAGGAATGAGACAGTGAGGTGGCACAATCTGTAGATGAGCTGTAGATGTAACTTTCTAAATCCAAAACTCATTGCAAGAGTTAAAGTGATCTCAATAGATGGCCTGACAAAATTCAGTGTTAAGTGACAAAGTAGTGTACACTGAGGGGAGGGGGGGAATCCTAACTACACAAACTATTGGGGTCTGAATTAGATGTTACCTCTCTCTAAAGAGTTCTTGGAGTCTTTGCAGATAGTTCTCTGATAACATCTGCTGAGTGCATTGGCAGGCAAAACTAACCATGTCTCTTTCCTAATGATTCCTAACAATCAAAATACCATGTCTAGATGTGAATCTATGGTACTCTCATATCTTGAATACTGCATGCATTTCTGATTATTTCATTTCCAAAAAGAAACATTAGAATTCGAGAAGGTGCAAAAAAGGGCAACGAAAAGTTCCATACATATGATCAGCTTTCATACAAAGAGAAATTAAAAAGACTAGGACTGGTCAGTTTAGAAAAGGGACTACTAATGGCAGATGTGGGTGTGGAGAAAGTGAGTATGGAAATATTTATTTACTCCTTCACAAAACATCAAATTCAGAAAACCAGATGAAATTCAGAGGTGGCAGGTAGGAAGTACTAGTTCATGGAACATACAGTCAAGCTGTGAAACTCATGGCCATGAGATGTTTTGAAAGCCAAAAGTATAACGATTTTAAAAGGATAAGTTAATGGACGATAGTTCCATCAATCACTATTAACCAGATGCTTAGGGATGCAACCCTATACTCAGGGTGCCTCTTCCCCCTCCAACTGCCAGAACCATTTGGCACAAGCCATGGTTAGAGACAGGATTCTGGGCTAGATGGACCAGTAGTTGTTACAGCTACTTCTGTGCTATAACTCTCCTGCTCAGGTGGAAAATGCACCCTCCTGAGCACAGCAAGTTACAGTGCTGTAAAGCACCAGTGTAAAAAGACTCACTGTTAGCTACTCCTCTTGTGGAGGTGGTTTATGTACAGTGCTGGCAGAACTGTCCCTGCGCTGGAGCCATGACCAACTCTGCTGCACACTGCCACAGTTACACTCTATGCTTAGTGTAAACAAAGCCTCTAGTATGGCTATTATCATCTTAAGGGTCCAGATGAAGATTCAAGAATAAAAACAGAGTAACTAGTGTCTAAACCATAGCTATTTTTAATTATGGCTATCTAAAAATGGTACTCTGCAGATCTTCTCCCAGTGTGTATTCAGAGACATCTCTGTTCAATCAGTAACAAGATCTCTTCCCCCCCCCGCCCCCCCCTCCCAGCTCTGCAAACTAGAATAGCTCTGGGATACTGAGCTGAACTTATATATTAGCAAAACTGTTGGCTAAGTGGCAATTGCAATGCTATCTGTTCAACCCTATTGTCTTCAATCCATGCCCTCAATTATATAATCCTTTGCCAGTTTGCTCAGGTGTATGGTAATTAAGGGCATAACATGACTGCACAGGTATAAAATAAAAGTAGCTCTTAGTTACGGAATTCTTATGACTTTCATGCTCCAGACTGCATTTGAACAGCTGACAGTCTAAGCTCTAGTAAATTGAGCAAATACTTACATAGAAATTGTTCATACCAAAGTGGGACTCCCCAACTTCAGTCTTACACTCCTGAGTAGAACCAAACTAAGCCATCCATAATTCCATTTTCGTTGATTTTTTCATGTCTTGAAATACCAGTTTCATATTGCTTTACTAAGAAGAGTTTTTGTTTCTTCCTTTTTTTTAAAAAATGGTTGTTTTTGTAAATTTAAATAAAAATCCTTGGTTAATGTCCAGACAGTTCATTTTAAAGTGTCATTCTGGCCCTAAATGTGCCACTGCTCCTTTATGGTATCTAAGTACCACAGCATTTGGGATAGCTGTGGGGAACCAGAAAGTTAGAGCCTTTTCTTTTTCCTCACCTACATGAATATAGTGAATAATCTCCTTGTTGGTAATACTTTTAATTTGACATCCATTTAAAAAACATAACTGGTTCCTAGTTCTCCATTGGGTAGCATGTTTTCCATACACACTTATTTGACAGCAGTGATGGATTTTTAAAAGACTCTAACTAGTGCAATTGTGAGGCCAGAATGGCTTTACCTTTGTAATTGTTTGAAATGATAGCACTGGATTATCTATGCATTCAAGAGGTTATTTTATGCATCCCTTTAGAGACTGTATAGATCAGACATGAATGAATCTCTGGAAGAGAGGTTAGGACAGATTGATATCACTTAAAACTTCTGAAGTAAAGTGGATCTACTATTAAACATCTTCTTGTTCAAATTTTATTAAACATTGGGGCTGCATCTAGACTGGCATGATTTTCCGCAAACGCTTTTAATGGAAAAGAGCGTCTAGATTGGCACGGATGCTTTTGCGCAAAAGCACTTTTTGCAGAAAAGCGTCCGTGCCAATCTAGACGCGGTTTTGTGCAAGAAAGCCCCGATCGCCATTTTTGCCATCGGGGCTTTTTTGCGCAAAACAGTTTTTACCTGTCTGCACTGGCCCTCTTGCGCAAAAGCATTTGTGCAAGAGGGCTTATCCCTGAGCAGGAGCATCATAGTATTTGCGCAAGAACACTGACAATCTTACATGAGATCGTCAGTGTTCTCGCGCAAATTCAAGCGGCCAGTGTAGACAGCTGGCAAGTCTTTTTTTTCCCCTCCCCCCCCAATACAATATGCATGGACTGTGCCACCACTTGTTTGATCCTTACTTAGTCCCCCATGATATTTCAGTTAGTGATCTTGCTATTCATTTTCTCTAAGTGAAATAAGCCATACAACCACTGCATTTTGTTCTAGTTTTGCAATAGTGAACACATTGTCACTTACTATTGTAAAATCTTATGACAAGAAACTAAACTGTTTAATTTTAAAGAGTCAACTAGACTTCATACTCTTCTCACAAGTTTATCTATACTAGCATCTCTAAAACATTAACCGTCTTCTGTATACTTTCAGAGTTCAGCACTATGCTGGTGGCTTCGAGGAGTGGGCAAAATATGAACTGCCAGAGGAAAAAAAATGACAATTTTTGGAATATTAACCTTATTATAGTGTCCTGAAATCTTCAGGTGGCTAGTAATATTAGTATGAAATAAAATTAACAATGGAGAATGTAGTGTAAATGGGAATATTTATTTAAATACTAAACTTAATACACTGTTAAATGTAGCTGATTATTCTGAATTTTAAATTGTGATTTGAACATTCTATTTGTGTAGTCTTCAATGCTCACTTTCCCTTGATCACATGTTAAAATTACTATGGAACTATTCCATAAATAAAAAATGTCTACTGTAAAAACTGAACATACAATACAATTTTGATATACTTCAAAAATGTACAGCAGGGGATCATGATTAAACATATTAAGAAACTTAACTATGTCAAGCAATTTTTATATATTCCTCTTAATATCTAGAAATGTCAGACTTTTAATTGGGTTGGAATGATACTTCAGAGCCAACTGACACTAATCAGCATATAGCAGCTGTTCTTAACCTGTCTGTTCTGTCAGAGCAAATACAAAGGGGAAAAAGCAGATCCTACAAACACAAAGGTGACTCTAAAATTTTACAGCAAAATACGAGTCTGGCTACAGAAGCTATGCATAAGGTTATGCATTCGTATTTCAAGACAGTATAGTAACATTTCTTTAAGGCACATTTCGAGGTTTCAGGCAGAAAACTCCAATCTCAAAGATTGTGAAATAAGACTTCAGGTGTATGATATGATAGTTTAGATGTGATAATTTAGAGTAGGAGTCTTCAGAATGCAAGGGAAGTAGAACTCTCTAGATTTACAGAGCAGTTATTAGCAATCTCTGTTTCAAGTACATTTACTTTTTTTATAGTGAATCCCTAATGGGGCACTGTAGTCACAAAATTGACTCAAGTTACACACATTGCCTTTTCTTGTTCTTCATACTACTGCAAAGTGACTTCCAAGGCAATGAAGAAATTGGAATATGAATGTCATTATGCAACATTTTCCCTGTCAAGCGGTTCTGTTGTGCATAGATTTTATAATTTGTTGCAAGTTAATCACTGACTACTCACTATAGCATTCCCCTGTAACTTTCCACAGGCATATAGGAAGAAATGTGGATTCCCCCCCCTCCCCCCCTTTTAGAGATGTCTCATGGTATGCAATCCCAAAAGGCCTGACTCTCTAAAGCACTAAGCCAACCATCCCCTTCTTTTTAAAAGAAGATAGCCCTATGGAAGGGCACTTTTCAACAGTAGAAGTCTTTTTCCTCCCCAGCCAACTTGTTTGACAGATTCTTGATCTGCTGATAAGGGCACACTGAAGTCCTTTCTCTCAGGCTTTTATTGAGGGTTATAGGAAGCTTTCTTAATGTAGATGTGCAATTGGTGGTGTTAATTTATATCTATCTTAAATGGTTGAACAAATAAGTGGGGATGGGCACTTTACACCTTTTAATGAAGATTTTTGACTCCCTACTAACCCCCAGAAATGATTATATCACCTCCTTAGGAAACCCATTCCAGTGCTTCACTACCCCCCTAGTGAAACAGTTTTTCATAATATCCAACCAAGACCTCCCCCACTGTCATGTGAGACCATTGCTCCTTGTTTGTCATCCATCACTACTGAGAACAGCCTCTCATCAGGAAATTGAAGGCTGCTATCAAATCCCCCCTCACACTTCTCTTCTGCAGAATAAATAAGCGCAAATCCCTCAGCTTCTCTTCGTAGGTCATGTGCTCCAGCACTCTAATCATTTTGGTTGCCCTCCGTTGGACCCTCTCCAATGCATCTACATCCTTTCGGAGAGGGGGGAGGTAGAATTGGAGGCAGTACTCCAGATGTGCCAAATAAAGGGGAATAATAACTTCTCTAGATTTGCTGGCAATGCTCCTCCTAATGCACCCTAATATGCCATTAGCCTTCTTGGCTACAAGGATACACTGTTGACTCATTCAGTTTCTCATCCACTATAATCCCCACATCCTTTTCTGCTGAACTGATACTTAGCCAGTTGATTCCCAGGGTGTAACAATGCTTGGGATTCTTCCTACCCAAGTGCAGGACTATGCACTGGTCCTTGTTGAACCTCATCAGATTTCTTTTGGTCCAATCCTCCAACTTGTCTAGGTCACATGGCATCCTATCCCTACTCTCCAATGTATCTACCTCTTCCCCATAGCTTAGTGTCCTCTGCAAACTAGCTGAGGGCGCAATCCGTCCCCTTATCTGGGATATTAATAAAGATGTTAAACAAAACAGGTCCTAAAACCGATCCTTGGGGGCACTCCACTTGAAACTAACCGTCAACCAGACATTGAGCCATTGATCACTACCCGTTGGGCCGGAAAATCTAGCCAGCTTTCTATCCCACCTTACAGTCCATTTATCCAATTCATACTTAATTCGCTGGCAAGAATAACGTGGGGGACCTTATCAAAAGCTTTCCTAAAGTCAAGGTATGTCACATCCACCAACTTCCCCATGTCCATAGAGCCAGTTACCTCATCATAGAAGCTAATCAGATTGGGCAGGCATGACTTGCCCTTGGTGAATCCGTGTTGACTATTCCTGATAACTTTCCCCTTTTCCAAGTGCTTCAAAATAGCTCTTTAGAGCTACATGGAAAAAACATTTTGGACACTACAATCGTGAACATATAGTTATATGCAGAAGCAAGAAGTTCTGAAAACAAATAGTTCACTTTCTAGGTTAAAATGCTGTAAAACTGTAGATTTTTGCAAATACTTAGCACAGCTGCTCCTACTGAGGACGACAAGAATATTACTTGAATAAAGCTTTAGTTCAGAAATCATCAGTGTTTTAAGAACTACACATAATCACTGTTAGTTTGCATTGATTTATTCCTACCCATCATGTCCACATTACAAACAGTACAGTGTTTAGCTTCCAGGGACTAAACCAACAAGCCAATTTCCAAGAGTAGAAGGATAAGGTGTCTACCAACAAAAGTAGTGTATGATAAGGCTAAAATGCCTGTTTTCACTCACTGTAAAATGGGTGTTAGTTATTTTTATAAAACATTTAATACAAATTATTAAGTGCAAATTGGCTCATTGATTGCATACAAAACCACCTTTGGTTGCACTTCATTGAATTAGAAGTCCAGTAGAGGACTGCAAAAAATGTTAGTTGGTTTTTAAATGGTCAAGTTTTAGAATTAACCAGTTTCATCTGGCCACGTTTTTCAAGCACTTGTTTTCTATAGTTTAAACCTATGTAATGTGTTACTATGCTTTGGAGAAAATTTATATTGTATTAAAAAAGCTATTGGACATCAGTTTCTATCCAACTTTTATTTGTGGTACAATCAGCATTTTTAGTTGTGAATTAAACAGTACATGAAGAGGGAAAACCTTAATCTTTAGGGCTGAACCCTGACTTGAACAGGAGTTCTGCATGACTAAGGAATGCAGGCTACAGCCCATGGCTTTAAAGAAACTAATTTTGTCCAAAAAGTCATTAACAAAGAATCCTATCATTGCAATAATTATTAAAAGCTATTCTTAAAGTAACATTTTAAAACAGCCAGAATGAAGCTTGTTCCTTTCAGTAAAATTCTACATAAACTCAAATTCACAACAATGAAGGCAGACTAACAGTGTATACCTTTTGTAAGCCCCCTCCCCCACGCCCCAAAAACCTACAATAAAAAAAGTTAGTTGATTCTAAACCATTTGAGGATTGCACAGTATAGTACTTGAAATAATTTATAAACTTTTAAATATTCCTAATATTTAAAATGGCGAAGAAAACTTTTTTTCCCAAATGCCCATTTTATATTGCACTTTTCTGGTAAGCGTGGCTACTACATTTTGTGGAAAAATATCCAAGCTACGTGTACTGAGTAAAACAGCATCGCTTGAGTCCAGAAGAGGAACTTCTTCCCTGCACTGTTTCCATTGAAATTAGCAACATTTTTACAGGTTTTTACAGCCTTTGTTTCTGAAAGACTGTGAGGGGTTTTCATATTAGTCCTTAGCTATAAACAAATGGAAAGATCAATTAAAAGATGTATACACTATCCTCCTTCAGTAACAAATAACGATAAAGACACAGGGCCATTAATATTGTTACATTTTACAGGCTTCACTACTGTACTTTTAAAAAATCTTCACTTTAATGGCAACCTATGTTTTTCTTAAAGCAAACAAAACAGTATTCAGCTATCAACATTGAAGTGCATGTGTGAATCTTTTGCAGCTCTGTTCAAAACTTTTGAATTCCTTACATTGAGAATCTTGCCAATGCAGTTGTTCCAGTGTTAAAGGGGTTGATGCAGTTTTAAAGAAAAAGCTTTCAATATGCTTGATAGAAACAAGCCATTTATTCTTCAAGTTCTAGGTCAAAGACATTATTGAAATCTTTGGTCCATTTCATGAACACAATTAAGATCCCAGTATGTCTTGATCCAAAGTGGTCCATAAAGTTCTTTGGAATGTCTTAAGACTGGTTGTAGCTGGAGTTCTGACTTCCATTTGGACCCTGTTCTCCTTCACTGTTTGGAGGGAGAGACACATATTTCAGATAATAAATTCATTATTTACATTGCTAGCCTTCAAGAAAGGAAGAACTAACATTGCAATATAAGACCAAGTACTAAAAGCCCCTTGAATATTTAGACACAAAATTCATAGCATTTTTTGCCTCTCCCAACTCTGCAATAAAAACCCCACTATTTTGATAACTGTGTATATATAAAATAATTCAACTAGAAAACATACAAAACAATGTATTTGTAGGATCTAATTTTTAAAACTGGATACATAAAAAACTGTCCAACTGCGCACCCAGTTTACCTCTGCAGATACCAGATTTAAGCTCATATATTTGCATCTTGTGATTTGTCTGTAACTTGACAATCTGTACATAACAGTACCTACCAGAGCAAATTTTGCATAAAATTGTACAGGCACAGTTCTGAGCAGTCAGGCCTTTCTAGTTACCTAACATTCCTAGTCACTGTATTGAGTAATAGAATACTCAAGTAACTACATTAATTCTTATCAGTTGCTCAACTATTCTATAGTTCTCGGGAGCGGGGCCAGCAGCCAGTGCTCTCCCTCCCAGAGAGCCCCCTGCCACCCAGGGCCTCTGTATTAGAGGCAGTAGCGTGGGGTGCCAAGTGGGAGCCAGTCCATGAGGGGAGCCAGTTTAAAAACCATCTCCCTGTGCAAACCAGCTGCCTGCCACCCCGCACTGCTGCCTCTGATACAGAGGCAGTAGTGCAGGGTGGCAGCAGCCCCTGTCTGCAGGTGGTCCGAGCTCCCTGTGGATAAAGGCTGCTCTGATGTCACGGGAGGCAGAGCAGCCCCTGTTTGCGAGGAGCTCAGAACGCCCCCCACTCCGCCCCGCACGAGTAGGGACTGCTTCATGGCAGCCTCCCCTGTCCCATCCTTCCCTGCACTGCTGCCTCTGATAAAGGCAGCAGCATGGGGGTCTGGTGGCATTGCAAGCTGGTGCTGGAGGAACTGGCTTTTAAGCCAGCTCCCCCCAGCTCCTGCTCCCCCACTTTGCTGCCTCTGTTTCAGAGGCAGCAAGCGGGGGGAGGGGAGGGCACATGTGTGTAGTTGAGAAGGTTAGCCGATAAGCCTAAGCTTAGATTAATTGTATAATAGACTACACATCAACATCCCTAATAATGACCTGTTCCTTATGTTTGCTGAACTGAACATGTCCTCATTAAATGAATTTAATCAGAAAAGCTAACATTAAAAAAATGTTACAACTAATCTATCAACCAGAACCAACTCTTCTTCATAGCTCCCAAACCAGTGGACAGGAAGGAATCTATCATGGAAAGATCTTCACTGTAAATATATTTACTATGCCCCAATGAAATGTTCTCTTGTGTTTAAAAGGAAGTTTCTGGTTTAAAATTTTTACAGTATACAATATGACATGAGAAAAAAATGCACAGTACCTGTTTGGGGGTGGTTTCGGTTTAGGCATCTTACTAAGAATAGTAGCCATTTCTTTCCTCTCATCAAAGTTCTTCCACTGTTCATACAGTTTTAGAATGACCCTGATTATTTCCAAAATCTAATTAGAAATATTTGAGATCAGATACTATAATGGTTCTGTGTTCATCACTACCCACAAAAATGTGTAACCCAACCAACCAAAATGTAAGTATAGCGTTTTCTCTATATCAGGGTGGCCTTCACATTATTCTCAACAATTTAGCAATCTTTATTATTTCCCCAGACAGCTGAGAGCATCTTGTTCTAGCTCAGGAGTTCTAAAGCTTTTTCTGATGGTAAATTACGTCATAAGACTGGTCAGGGATGGTCTAAGTTAATTTAGTCCTGCCTTAGTACAGGTAGCTAGACTTGATGTCTCAAGTTCCCTTTCAGCACTGCATTTCTAACAAAGTATTTCTTGAGCACTTCGCCTCTTACTCAGAATTACACAAACCACTTTGTTCCCATCAAAAACTGAATTTGCAACTAGTTACATGGAACAATAATATAAAGAACATAGTTTTAGTTTCTATTAAGTCTATATAGCAGTTGTTAACCAGGCCATGCAATAGCATATAACTAGCAAATGGTGGTCCCTGGATCACCCAGCAAGTGTTCTTCACATCACAGGTGCTCCGTGTACTATGGTTTGAAATCCACTGGTCTTAGTACCCTAGAGAAGGGGAGGGGCTGAACAGCACACAACTATTTTGTCCTGTGAACTTCTACAGTCTCAGAGCGGCTCTTTTGTTTTGCCAAAGCACCATCTACCAACTTTATCTTTTCACCTCTCTATTTTTGAATCTCTCTAGTCTGGAACACTCTCTAATCTAGGCCTGGTTGTTGCTGAACCAGAAAGTTTGCCAATGAGTGGGGTCAATATTGTCTAGCAGCATTACCAATGCTTCTACTGCTTACTGGACTCCCAGAATACATTCAGGGGTAAATTAGAGCTAAACTACAGCGCAGGACACAGAACTGGTGGCTGTAAGCAAACTTTATGGGCTGCACCCATAAGTGAACATCCAACTAATTAAAATCATGCTAGACTACATGGATGTTGTCGGACCAAATAGTGCCAGATTAGACAGGTTCAACCTCTTCTATAATTTATTCTTTTTACTCATACCACTTATTTTTTGCTTTGTAGCTTTCTTAGCTCTGCCCCCTCTTCCTACTAACCTGTACAGATATGACTTTTCTAGTGCAGAATTTTTTTCTAAGAAAGGATTGCATGTGGTGTACGGCTCTCACATTGGCAGTCACTGACTTAAAATACTTGATAGTAAAACAAGCACACAAGAAAAGCCCGAGTTCAGATAAAGCATTGAGCACCATGAAAGCAATATATCTCTCTGAAATCAGAGTCACAGTTGGCTAAGTGGTATGGATGTGAACTGTTACGCCTAGATTGCTATTAGTATCAGAAATGGAAAGCCTAAACACACAAATATATTCAAGAGCAGGAGTAACTTAAGTCACTACATAGTACAACCCATTGATAGAGTAGTTTTCCCCTTGTATTTCCTGTCATGTTCAACTCATTTTACTTCGCACATATATGAACAACACTCTGAAATGTGCTGGGTAGTCAAACCCAAAAGTGTAATTCATAAGCATGAGCTTTAGTGCTTTGATGGATTGGGGTCATAGTGTTATCCAGAAAGATTCTAATGCACATTGCACACAGCAAAACTACACCACAAATATATTTAAAATGAGAATAGCAAGTAAGCTATTAATACTGTAGAAAGAATTAGGCAGAACTGCCCACACTGGAGTTCGGCCAGAATGCTCTTAGGTTAACACTTTCATTTTGTGAAAATTGCTATGAGCTATTTAGTGGCCCCAAGTAAACAAGACCTCAGTTTTATGTTTCATCTGAAAGATGACAATTCCAGCAGCACTCTGTGCTTTAGCACTGGCTCTAATGACAGAGTGCTATATACCAAATCATCAAGTCCTCTTCCTGAAATACTTGGGGTTTTTTTTAGAAATCTCCCCTCTAATTCCTGACCAGGTTTAACAGTACAGAGTGTACATCATGTAACAACAGTAGAGATTTAAGTGACAAGCCTGCAAAATATCAATTTATATTATTAATTATATCTCATATCAAGTAAGAAAAAATACCTTCTCCATATCAACAGACAACTCAGCAAACCACTGCCTTGCATCCTTCTGCTGGACAACACAGGCCACATGTAGGCAAGCTGCAAAGTAAAATAAACAGAGGGACATGTCTACTGACCAAAGATTCATTTATTATAAAAAATAAAAGAGGTTTGTAATTGAAAAATATCAATTTTCAGAATGGTTTCTACTATTGTTTCTTTCTTTGTAGCTCTGAATGTCTCCCTTGAGTACTATCCATTCTACAACACTTCCACATCATAGTTGTGGGGATTTAAGCTCTGAATCAAGCTTTCAAGTTTCTTGTAAGATTTTCAAGCCACATGGCAGTACTGTCAGTAACATCTGAAGTGATAACTGAAGAAGATGGTGAAGATAAACAAATCAACATTCTTTAGAACAGTGCATTTGCTAAGAAATGCCCATTCATGGAACACTATGCAAGATGAAACCATTCAGATACAGTACAGCAGTTGAACTTTTTACCTACCTAGGGCAATCATGAAGGGAGGGTACAGTAGACAAAGATCAGTTCTATATGTATCATTCACTATCCTCCTGTGCAAACAAAAATAGTAGATAAATGCCCTGTTTACTTTTATTCCCATTTTACTTCAGAAATTACCATCTGTTTTTATTTTAAATTTAGGGGGATTTTTTTAAACATTAAGACAGTCAGAAATGAAGGTGTAAAATCATTAATATCTGCATCGATGTACACACACTTCTTCTCTTGAATCTTTTGATTTTTTCCCAGTGACTTTAGTGATGGTTTGCTTCTAAGAATTCTACTTGGAAGAGTATTTTGTTTTCTAATAAAATATTGCTTTGCAAAGTACTTTGAAGATACATTTTAAAATTTTCAACACCAACCAATCTTCACAGCTCTCCTGTGAAGTATTTTTATCCCCATTACAAGGAAAAGCAAACAAAGGCAAAAAGGGATAGTAGCTTGTTCAAAGCTACAGAGGGAGACCTTGTCTGAGTTTAAGTGATAAATCAGGAGTTCCTGGCTTCTAATAGACAGTTGAGAGAGGCATAGGTTACATTTTTTATTGCATATTTTTATTTTGTTTTAAATGTTTTAATTAAAAAAATCTTTAAACTAAACAGTGGCTTTCAAACTGGGGTATGTGAGCTCTTGTCGGGGTATGCAAGAAAAATCATGTAACAGTGAACACAGCATTTTATTAAGTACTGAAGTTTTCAAACTATGGGGACACGGAGGAAAAATTGGGGAGCAGGAGGTGAGTGGCAACACCAGGCATTTTGGGTCAGACCCCACATGGCTGAGCTTAAGGAAGGGTGCAGCACCCATGACTCACTTCAGCAGGCCATCCAGCCTGTCTTGGTTGAGGGGGAGTGCAACAAATTGATCCCCGCCTTTGAGTTACCACTTTTGGTTGTGTTCCCTCCAACCCAGACAGGCTTGGAGGCCTGCTGAAGAGAGGCAGTACAGGTGGCGCTCCCTCCCAAAGCTCCACCATTCAGGGCTGGTCCAGGCTGCCTGGTGTCTCTACTTGCCCCTCTGAATGTTCTTCTACACCGCTGTTGGAGTGAAACCCCTGCCCCAGTCTGAAATCATATAAAAGCGAATACTCAATGGAGGGCAGAAATCTGGAAGGGCGCATGATGATGACCTGCCAAACCTCCATCAATACTAACTGTCTCAGGTGGGGACACTTGGTAGATTGCATTATTTGGAAAGGGGTATGCAGCCTAAAAAGTTTGAAAATCATTGATCTATTAGTTACACCATTGTCAACCCCTGTGTAGACACATTTACATCAATAAACTGCTGCAACTTTATGTGTAGAAATGGCCAAATCAATTCGTACTTGACAATTTCTGAAGGGTTTTTTCCCCCAAGTCAACTTTCCTACTGAAAGGATGCAGTAGTATTAACCTTTGTCTTCATTACCATGCGAGGGGTAGTAGCATGTCTTCTTGGCCCATATCTTGCACATATTGGAGCAAAGGTCTATAAGGATGATACACTATCAAACAGCAATCCTAGATACAAGTTTTAAAAAAATCAAATTATAATTATTATAGAAAATACACTGTCATGGGTTTGCATTATAAACACTGATTTAACAATCTATTTTTTATTTTTCCATTCAATTTAATATATTTTAGTATAATAGAACCCTAATTCTGGGATAATGAGGGAACCAAAATATACACTGATTGACAGACTGTCAATGTCCCATCCTTTCTTTTTCCCTTAAAGAGGCAAAGTGTCACATCTGCAGCACACTGAAACCTCAATTGTCTACAAACCCATAATTCCCAACTGAAAATTCAGAACACTGCCAGAAAACAGTCTGTCACTAAATAATACTATATGAGAGAAACTTGCCAAAATAATTGACACTGGTTTAAAAAGTCTACACAGCTCTAATTTTTTTCCTTATTCTTAAAGTTAGAGTGTACAAGAAAGAATAAAAAAAAAATCAATCCTCATCTTCCAACAATACCTAGTTAGCAGTATGCAACAATAGAGGGCTGCGTCAGTGAATATGTGCTACACACAAAGCAGAAATCAAAAATTAGCTATACAGTGATTCAGGGGCAAATGTTATTTGTCACAAAAAGTAAATAAAGTCAGTTGCAATTGATGTCTAATTAATTATCAAGATCAGAAACTGTTCCTAAGCATAGCACAGGACAACAACATTCAAAACACCTCTTTCTCAACAAAAGAAATATTACTCCTGTTACAAATATACAGAAAGCCATACACAGCAAATTTAGGACATTTCATTGCTGCAATAACTTCAAGCATGTTGTTCTTCCAGATCTATAAAAATTAACGCAGGTTTCATATCTTTATCATGCATTTATAAGGTATAATCATCTGAAGTGTGATCTAGTTATCTGACCTGACTCCCTGTGCAACATTAAGATAATCCCAATAATAATCCTAACAAAAAGAGTCGGGGTAGCTAAATGTTAGCATGATGCTCAAAAGACGTACACACTAAATAATTTAGTATTTGGGCAACTCAAAGAACTGCAAACTTGTATTTGGTGCATTTACTGAATACAGCAGTGGTGACATTACAAACATACAACACAATTACATATTTTAAATCTAATGTTCAAACAACATTAGGTTGCAGTGTTAAGCATTCAAAAGTTAGGAAACATCAGGTTTTCAGATCCCTTTGTTACCTTAATTTGGTCTTCTTTGAATAATGCTCTAGTCTATATACAGTTACATGATTGAATGCTATTTAATCGTGACTGTACTGTTCCACAGGACTCTAGCCTCACTGAGTACAGAAAATAAATGAAGTTCAGGGAATGAGGCAGTACTGAATATTTATTTTTATCTTCATTGTCAATGTCTGGCCCCATCTTAACAGGATACAACCCAACTTCTTCAACAAACACAGAATTATTAATTTCCTTGTGGTATTTTCTAGAGCACTAGCCATCCTAATGTCTGAATGCTTCACAAATATTAATTTATCTTTAAATTTTCACTGTAAGAATTTGAATGTCGATGTTTAGTTATTTTGGCAATCTGCCAAAGTTAACTGAAAGGAAAATGGCAACTTTAAAAAATGTGTCTCAGACAAACCTGAGCAGAATTTCATAATACAAAAGAGACATTGCTATCTCTGACCCTAGCGTCATCAACCTGTCAAATATCAGAGTCCTTCTACACACAACGGAGGTATACGAGTTTTTAAAAAATGATCATTAGAACCCTATAGAGTATGTCTACACTACAGCATTATTTCTAATAGCTAATTTCAAAATAACACGTCTACACACAAAATGCATTTCGAAATAGCATTTGGCTATTTCGAAATAGCGTGCCCATACTGAATCGCATTTAAGGCTGGCTGGAACCAGGTCCGGCAGGATATCAGATCAGGAGTTACTTTGTGTGGCTGCTGCCTGAGGCTATCTGAGGCCTGTGCTTAAAGGGACCCCCCTGGACATCCAGTTCTCAGCTTTCCCTGCTTGTTTGCCTACCTCGATGAGGGACAGCAAAGCATTTTGTCTCTGCGTGCTCTGGTTGCCCTCACTCGGGACACCACAGCACTCTGCAACATGGAGCCAGAGCTGTCTCTGGGCATGTTGGTGCTTCTCGTGGACATGTTGCTACGAGCCTGGTTGCACTTTCTGCAGGCTGCCATCCGGGAGGTCCATCAGAGGTGGGGGGAGAGCTGTCAGAATCCAGGAGGCCCTGCAGGAGAGCTTCCATCCTGAGGAGCACTAAGAGCATCCCTGGTCTACCCCACTGGGGGCTTGTGCCTCATTCCTTCCTCACGTCCTTCCACTTACCCCTTCCTAATGTAAAATAAAATACGGGGAGGAGAAGCTCAAGGTTGGAAGTCTCGCCGGACCAACTTGATTTTCATGCAAACCTGCTCCCGGGTTTGCATGTGGCCTTTGGTGGCCAGGCTGGCAGCTATCCTGCCATAGACAGCCGCGTTCCTCCCTCTAGTGCAGAGATCATGGACTTGGGGGTATCCCCCCCAAACCTGAATACGGTCCATGATCTCCACCCTGGACCAGGAAGGCTCCCACCTTCTTTGGGCCCTAGAGGCTCCAGAGAGCTGGCAGACTGTTCCTGGGGAGCAGTGGAGGCCTGGCTGCCAGTGGCTTGCTGGCTCATGTTTTGGGGCCACTGGGTCAGGGGCAGTGGGAGCTGGCACAGGCACTGTGGCCAGAGTCAACCCCTTTAAGGGCTCCAGTAGGGGGAGGGAGAGGAGTGTTCTTGGTTGAGGCTGGAGTGGACACCAGGGCACCCTGGGAAGGCCGAAGGCCCCCTATTTCGAAATAAGTGTCTCTTGTGGTCTGAAACATATTTACTGGCTTTAGGCTATTTGTCATTACAGGCGAACCACTGCTCATGTTTCCTAAGAGCTCATTATAATTATTCCTAGCAATTATAGCATCCAGAACCCCAATTCTAGTCCAAAACACATTTGTTCCCATTTATTAGGCTGTGAGCAGTAACTAATTTACATGCGAAGTAGTAGGCAACCTAAATACACAGGGCCACTAACCTCCCTATATTCAAAAACAAAACAAAAACACAAGTTATTGAGAAAAAGAAGACAATAAGAACTTCACAATGAAATTCAGGTTGAAAAAACAAACAGCAGTTCCAAACATATATTTAATATGCGCAGAATCCAGAATAGTCTTGCTAGGTAAAAATACATGAATGTAATAGAAAGACACCTACCATTAATTCTAAAAGATAGAATTCACATTCTAATATCTGCAAAGAATTAAAAATATAATTAAGCAACAATTTTCTCTTAACAGGAAAGAATATGTTAATCAGTAGCCAGACTAATATTTTTTTCATATATGCATTCCCATATACTATGAATTCCACAAGAAACCCCAGTCATTCCCTAGCAGTTTTACCATTGCAAAATTTCTTTTGTAGAAACACTACAAACCAATTAAGAAATATCTCAACTATCATCATTTTAATACCCACTCCATTTCTAAGGACAGTTTCTTTTCTGTCACTGCTTTGCGTGTAAGTATTTTCATGTAACCACTGTACATGTGTGTTCTGTAATCTATTTAATCTATTCTGTAATCTATTTAAGTACTTAGGCTGCTTTGTTCACGTGGGGCTGGATCTTGCAAAATGCTGAATGCCCCCAACTTTATTTAAATTTCAAATAAAATTGAAGGCTCTTTGTGCCTTAGTAGGTTTAGTTTAGCTACTGTTACCGCAAAGACTGAAATGAAATGGAAAAAATATCTGGCATATTGACAAAGATGAATAGGATATTAGAGTATAAAATGTTACTAAAATATTCTGTGAAATTATAGTCATCAAGACATCTCATATTCAAGACTCGGGATGAAGTTTCCTGTGGTGTTGGTTCCACAATTTTATAACTTATGCTACATCTAGGTGTGGGTACATGGAACTGATACCATAACAGATAACTGAATGTTGACTCAACAACAACCAGAAGAGCAGTTCTATTCACTATTATACTTTTATGTAGCTTTAATCCTAAAATAGTAGCACAGTATTGCCCCACATATCTAGATCAAGATCTAAAGCAGAGTTAATATATATAACATTGGGCTGGCTAGCTCAGCTAGAGAGCAGTAAAAAGATAAATGAAAAATTATACTGAGATTAGAATTTAGTAGCATTCTTTTATGTAGTACAGTTACCAAGAGTGTAAGGAGACTCGTTTTACCTTTGGAAATACGACAGTAAAATCTAAAAGTAAATGCATTTGAAAAAATATATATTTTATATTAATAAAATCTGCATCAATCCCCTCGTCATTTTGAGGCTGCATTACCAAAGATCTTCCCTTCAAAATGAGGCTGTAGAGCAGTTTTTAAACTAAGAGATGGGGGAAAGCCGATTGGTGCGGAGATGCACGTAAATCGGAGAGAGACTTCTCTTAGAGGAGAATCCGTTGATAGAGATTCTCTAAGCTGTAGTCGGAAAGAGAGGAGGGGAGAGGGCAAACCATTGGCCAGAGCTGACAAACAACCGCATACAAAGGAATCCAATGCATCAGGGAAGGGCAGACAAATAACCAGTGGCAAATTTTTAAAGTGCTTGTACACAAATGTTAGGAGTCTGACTAATAAGATGGGTGAACTAGAGTACCTCGTATTAAATGAGGAGATAGACATAATAGGCATCACTGAAACCTGGTGGAATGAGGAAAATCTGTGGGACACAATCATACCGGGATATAAAATATATAGAAAGGATAGAGCAGGCCGGGTGGGTGGCGGAGTGGCACTGTATGTGAAAGATAATGTAGAATCAAATGAAATAAAAATATTAAGTGAATCAACATGTTCCATAGAATCGCTATGGATAGTAATTCCATGCTCCAATAATAAGAAATTAGCAGTAGGGATATATTACCGACCACCTGACCAGCACAGCGATACTGACATAGAAATGCTGAGGGAGATTAGAGAGGCTACCAAAATAGAGAACTCTATAATAATGGGGGATTTTAATTACCCCCATATGGACTGGATACATGTCACCTCAGGAAGAGAAGCGGAGATAAAATTTCTCAATGGCTTAAATGACTGCTTCTTGGAGCAGCTAGTACAGGAACCCACAAGGGGAGAGGCAATTCTAGATTTAGTCCTGAGTGGAGTGCAGGATCAGGTCCAGGATATAACCGTTACAGGACCGCTTGGGAATAGTAACCATAATATAATAACATTCAACATTCCTGTGGTGGAAAGAACACCTCAGCAGTCCAGCATCCTGGCATTTAATTTCAAAAAGAGGAATTACACAAAAATGAGGAGGTTTGTTAAACAGAAATTAAAAGGCACAGTGACTAGAGCCAAATCCCTGAAAGCTGCATGGAAACTTTTTAAAGACACCATAATAGAGGCCCAAATTAAATGTATATTCCAAATTAAAAAACATAGCAAGAGACCTAAAAAAGAGTCACCGTGGCTTAACCACCATGTAAAAGAAACAGTGAGGGACAAAAAGGTATCTTTTAAGAAGTGGAAGTCCAATCCTAGTGAGATAAATAGAAAGGAACATAAACACTGTCAAATCAAGTATAAAAATGCAATAAGAAAAGCAAAAAAAGATTTTGAGGAACAGCTAGCCAAAAACTCAAAAAGAAATAACAAAATGTTTTTTAAGTACATTAGAAGCAGGAAGCCTGCTAAAAAAAACTGTGGGTCCCCTAGATGATTGAGCAATAAAAGGAGCAATCAACGACGATAAAGCCATTGGGGAGAAACTAAATGATT